AAGCTTTGTTCCTGCATCCATTGGTCCATGTAGGTAGTCCTTGAACCCTATTCCTTCCTTCAACATTCCGTACACCTCTAGACCCTCCTTATGCTCGGTTTCTTTCCTTAGACTCTGTTCTTCTCTCTCGGCACAAGCAACAGATATCTTCTCCTTGAACCCCTATAGACCCTCCGTCTCCAGCGTTTCATCTTCGTCGGTTTCGAACCCCTTCCATACGTCCTCTACAACCTTGGCCCATTCCGTGGGTTGTCTACCCCTCTTTTTGTTTGCCCACTTCGCCTCCCATACAATCCTCGGCAACCTCTCCTCTCCCATCTGTCTCTTATACACATCTAGATGTGTATAAGAGACAGCTATGTGTACTGGTCCACTACTGCAATCTCCTCGATCCCCCACTTCCATCTATTTTGCACTGGTTCCTCCTTGTTCTCGTTGCATACCATGACGGCACTGTTTCTAACGTCGGCAGGCAGTCTCCACTTATCAGTACACTTCTTCGCCGCGTTAATTTGCAGTTGCAGTCCCTCAGGGGTGTCCGACATACCGACAAAATCATCCGCAAACAGCATTCCTGAAACCGACGTTTCCGTGTCCCCTACTTTTACTCCCTTCCGGACTGCCTCTACGACTTCCAACAGATCGTTGATGAACACCTGGAACAATGTTGGGGACAGCGTGCAACCTTGTGGGACCCCCTGCTCAATGTCGAAGAATTTTGACAGTTCTCCGTCTAGCATGACCGCGCTTTTCGTACACTCTGTCATCTTCTTCAGCACTCTCCACATTTTCCCCTTGATCCCGTATTTGGACAGTTGTTTCCACAACCCATTTCTCCATACGGTGTCGTATGCCTTTTTCACGTCCAGGAAGAAGCAGTACGTCGGCTTTCCCGCCCTCTTTCTACGTTGGATGATTCTCCCTACCGTGAATACGTGGTCTACGCACCCCCTCTTCTTCCGGATCCCTGCTTGACCCTCACTAATGCTATGTTCCTTCTCCAATACTCCCACTATTCTATCGTTCAGCAGCTTACGAAACACTTTTCCTACTGTGTTCAAGATGGCAAACACCGATGGGGGGGCTTGTTTTACAAGGTCATTGCCAAGCGACGAAGTCCAACCACGATGGCTAGCACCGTGGGGGGGAAGTGGTCGAAAGAAGGAAGCGTTGTCCAGCCCCCCGGTCGCTATGAAGTTCTTCATGCGGGTGTACTTGGGCGTGGGCACCGGAGGATAATGTTCGACGCCGATCGGAGGCCTTAACTAGCGATCGCGGCGGAAAACTAGTCGTTGGGGAACGTGTTGAAGTCGTCGTCGAAGAACAAGAGACGGCGCCGGCTGTTGTCCACCCGTGCCTGGTGCTTAAGGAGGTTGTCGCGAACTTCGTGGAGCCCCTGTTTGAGGGCGTCCGCAGCCAGACTCTCGCTGGCGACGATGCCGTGGCCCAAGGTTTTGCAGATTACCCCGATCATGGTCTCGAATGACTCGTCAATGTTTACCGTTGCCGAGGCGATGTCGGACACCGTAGAAATGCGAAAATGTGTCTAGCGTCGACGCGATTTGCGGGCTGATAAGGGCGTCTGCGAATGTTGCTTGCCACTGGGGTGCCGTGAGAGTGCCCAACNTGACGCGATTTGCGGGCTGATAGCCCGCAGACGCTTACAACGAACGGTGACCCCACGGCACTCTCACGGGTTCACGGGGCGCTGAGCAAGAATCAACCAGACCATGCGTGTGTGGAGGTTCTTCCACTCAGTCATTGCTTCCTTCAGGGCCATCTTCTGGACGGCCGCAGGCAGTGCCGCCGGCGTAGCGCGGCCAGTGGCGACCCCCGCGTACCCTGTAGCTCGACCTCCCCCGCGGACTCCCCGGCAGTGCCACGAAGGTTGCTAACGGAGAGGCGTTGATTTGGGCTTGCATCTGACCGACGAGCCCCCGGTGCTCGTCGTCCTTTTGCGTGGATTTTTCGGTTTGCTCGTGCAGCTGCTGCTGCAAAGCGGCGATAGGTGACGACCCCTCAGACCGAGATCGTGGGACGGTGGCCACGCGGCGCGTTGTAGTCCCTCGGCAGTTCGCGCGAGGTCTAGAACGCGCCCTGCCCCCGCCCTCGCTGACGACTGTGTCGACGACCGTGCCGGGTGGAGGCAGCCGCCCCCAACCATGTGATTTCGTACGGGACGACGATTGGGTGACCCGCGCCCTCGAAGCAGCGCGTGGCGGCATGGTACATGGTCATGTTGAAAATTGTCGGGCGACGTGACAATTTCACGGCATTGCGTCAGATTTCAGCAACAATCGAGCGACATTGCTTTTGTGCTTTTTCTGCTTTCTTCTGGGTTCGACTACCTGCTGAGTTAGCGCCAGCGGCCGAAACCAGCCGCACGATCAGCAACAGGGCACCGTTCGGGCGACTTCATTGCGCTCCGGATCTGACTGTCGACTGAGTTGCAAGAGCGGCCCAGACACAACTTCCTGTGACTGTCTGTTCCATGTTGGCCAGTCCCTCAGTCCTTCGGCGTGCCCACGTACTCCGAGGTCGTCTCTCGCGCTCACAAACCCTGCGACCCACGACATCGGTGCACGTGTCGTGTGCTCTCCTCTTGTGTCCAGAAATGTGGGCGGCATGCGAAGTCTATTACTCGTATACCAGTCCCAGTTTTTGAACATGATGCTTTTCAACGCTTTCGGTTACAGCAAGCGACAGTATCCTCCGTCTCCGACAGCAAGCTTTGCGTATGTTTTTTTGAGTATGTGATTCTCTTGCTGACCATTGTACACATTCTGCTGCACATGCTCGGAATATGCTGCAAAGCTCGTCAGATTTATCGTCTCCGTCGCTTTCTGGTTGCACGTGTTGCTCACATACGTAACGATGCGTGGTTCATACTTGTTTCTCTGGTTGTTCGTCATCCATGAACAGAAACTGCAGCAGCAGTTGAAGAGACAGAAAACAAGACGGCCCGCCGCTGCACTATTTTTTTTTCTTGCTACGCATGCATGGTAACTTGAGCGCCTTGATGCCTCGACTTGAGCCTGCTCCGCACTATGTAGTGTGAGCGCTACGGTCTGTGGCAGCACAATTCATGTACTTGGAAGTATACAACACTTCGTGTCGCGGTGCGCATCTATCACGGGGGGCAAGCGTATGCATATTGAGATGGTAGGAGTTCGTCCATGCTTGGTTAGTCAGGTTCTTTGTTGTTCGTTGTCACCACCACAAAGAAAGTCGATCGGTCGCGAGCGGCGACTATTGTCTCTTGCTCAGTGAAACGACAGCAGTACTGAAATACCAGAAGTATCATAATCAATCTGATGTCGTCGCCATTCGTTACGTTTGTTGCACAATTACATGTCTGACTGCTTCCAGTGTGGGTCAGAGGAACGGCAAAGAGTGTTTTCTCAGGAAGAGTTAACGGCCTAGTTGTGTTCTCTCATCTGTTTCGCCTTTCGCTGGTGCCGTCCCCACAACAACGCCAACTGCGATTATTCTCTTTCTTGCTGAGTAAGAGGCTACCTGTATCCCCGGCTGCTGCACGTGAGGCGATGAGCGCCGCCCCTTCACCTGAGACAATGGGCATGGCCCCTGATCTTTGTTGCGGTGCCATTGTGACAGCTTCCGGCGGTTCAGAGCGGCGAGGGTGGTTTTTTATGTGCTCTCTTCTACCTCTCCTCCCTGAATAATTCCTTCCCCGTCTTGCTCACTGTCTTGTTCTTGCTTCTTTTTCATATTTCGATTTTTCATGCTTCGTTTTTTGGGGTCCCCCGCCCACCCATCGTTTGAGAACATATTGTTGGGAAGGGTGCCGTTGGGGAGAGCTGGATGATACCCGCAACTAACTGTGCATTCCAGGTGCTTTGTTTTCGTTTTTTTTTTCAGTCGTCTTCAGTCAGTAGTACTGCAAGTACCGAGTACTTTAGTGCTGCAAATATCGAATACTTAAGTCATGTGGTGCACCGTATTCGACCTTTATATGGTGACTTATTTCCGGCCCAGAACAGCTGCAGCGGTGTCCACTACTACTTTGCATTCTAGGGTAGCGTGTGTTGTCAATCGTCTTCAGGGTAGTTGCCTGACCATCGAGGGTGTCCATATGGCACATCGTATTCGACATCGTGACGTTTGGTTGTTTATATACATTTATTTATATACTTTCGACTGCGAGGTCAAACGTAACAATTCTTCCTGCGTGCTTATCGGGCGTCTTCGTGTCTACCTTTGATTGCCGCCCGCTGAAAAAAACAATGGCTTCAGACAGGCAAAAACCGACGATACTCATCGAGTTGCTGTCACAGTTTGCGCTGATGGGATAATATTTTTTGGGACAGTTCCTGGCTTGCCGGGCGCCCCACGAGATACTCCGTAGGCTTCGCGCGCACTGCCAACGACCATGTGTGTCCGCCAGAGGGAGGCCACACAGTGTGGCACAAACCGCGGTAGGCGGAGGGTAGAAAGAGGCTCGTTTGAACACACTGCACACACTCACATTTCGCCCTTAAAAGCACAGCATCTCGCAACACACGCTCGCTGTTGTGATGATGGTTGGACATTTTTAAACGACAAACAGGTGCACAAGTGTTCGGCTTCTTCTTCTACGTCTAGTCTATAGTCTATACATTTGTTCTTTGGTTGCCACGTTCATATCGACACTTCTTCTACGTCTAGTCTATAGTCTATACATTTGTTCTTTGGTTGCCACGTTCATATCGACTACTAGAGTACGGTCGTCTCCCTCCCAAACCCTCACCGCCATCCGTCTCGTTGTTGCCGCTCGCCCCATTGGGGGGCCAGGGACCTTGGGCCATACTTTACCCCAGTGCCAATTTACCAGACATCCTAAAACAAAAACGAAACAGACGCCTGGCCACCTGAACGCGAGACGATCACATCAAATCCAGGGTGCCGAAACACTTGAGACTCGTTTTTCACATTTACCGGGATTGTACTACTTGGAGTTCGTCTCTGAGAGCCGCCGTGAACCGCCCCCCGTTGCGCTCGACGACACCGTTTGTACCCCGTCAAAAGCAGAATCTGCTGGCTACATAGCAGGCGGCAGGCAGTGGCGTTGTTTTACCGGGCTGCTGGCGTTGGTGGCGTCGCAAGCGTTCGACGCTGGTGGACAAGGTACTCGTTTGTGGTATTTTCATGCAGGACCCGCGAGGCAGCAAGAGCACCTTATATCCCAGACGTCCCGACCAAGGCATCCGAACCACAAGGGCGAAAATAGAAAACCCAAACTGCGAATATTCCAAGATGATATGTGCTTGGGTTAGGGATTGGCCCCCCGGCCTCCAATGGGGTGGGTGGCCATAACGAGACGGATGGCGGCGAAGGTTTGGGACTAGGTCAAGTGTATATATGAAGAACAAGGAAGACGACCATCGTAGGGGTGGTACGAAGGGTGGAATCGGAGACACGGAGGATGACGTGAAGACGGTTTACGAAGGGCGAGAGAGCATAGGATGGAAGTGTGAAACGGTCGCCGAAAATGACGGAACAGAAAAGCGCTGCTTACGTAGCACACTTGTATGCAGTTGCATGTGCCGTGGTCCGGACGGCCACGAAATGTACAGAGGAGACGTGACACGGAGAAAATGAATTACAATCTGATCTTTGAAACTCCTTGTAACTTGCAACTGTTGGTGCTTGAAGTAGGGACGGCTGGAATCCAAGGAGAATCGAGGTACAGTGCAGCATAGTCCACAACAGCAGGTCGCAGCAGGTGATTGCTGATACCACTTCAAACCCATACGCGTAGCCGGTACTGGGCGGCACCAACAAGTGTTGACGCCCAGCGATATTCGTGAATGAACAGGAAGCCAACATGTGTGAAAATTTTACTGACAATCATACGTACGTGCATGTAGCTCTGGATATGTACAAAGAGGTAAGACTACGGTCTGCAAGATCCGAGGCAGCACACGACAAAGGTGTACGACACAACCCAAACGCGCAGGCGGCATCAATACATCATACTGGGGTGTGTCAGTCATTGGTACCGGCCCGACAAGTCTTCCGGCCCGGGAAGGTTCTTCCTAATTATCTTCACCTGCTTGCATTTACTGCGTTCCCATCCCAGCTCCCGTTCGCTCTTGGGAAACAGATTCCACGGCTTCTACCTTCCTCGAGCTCGCCCGTGAGCGGTTCGAGGCCCGGAACGGCAGGCCGGCCACCTTCGAGGAGAGCAATTTCTCCTTGGATCGCTTGCAGGTGTCCAGATTTGTTGCGTCCGAGACATGTTGGGGAACGATACGATATACTAGCGGTAGAAAAGACGTCGAGTGTCTTCGCAGTTCTACGGCGAATGAGTGCACCCTAGGGTGCCGGTGTACGAAGGGTTGGGTTGGAAGTTGTCGATCCCGTCCGTCAGCCGGAACGGGTGGATATGTGTTGTTTGCGGTGTGAGCAGCAGAGGGCTCGAGACGCGTCTGTTGTTGTACAAAGAGAGGTAGAGCAAAAGCCCGGTGGTTTCTACTGCCTTGTGCCGCGTACAGAGCTACGTTTCACTCCAGATGCAGCCTGTTAGGGGCTGCTGAGGATGCTGATGCTGTATGTTCGCCACGTGCTACCCAGGCTGCAGTTTTCGATGTGCGGTGGATGACTAGAGCAACCCAAGCACCAACTCTTTCGTTACCCCTTCACTGCGACTGCTGTCCACGGCAACGACTCCCCTAACATGAAACAGTTGCGATAGTGTGCGTCATGCGCAGGACATACGATCTTGGCGCTTTGGCCGCCTTGAGCAGGGCTTGGGTTGGAGCTTGAGCACCAAGCATCAGGCACCAAGCACCACACCGTCTCGAGATAAGGATGCTAGAATTAACATCGGGGGCGGAGTGCCCTGTTTTCGACCCTTGGATGGAACGTTGCCGAACAGTTTTAATCAGCAACGTGCTCCCTCAGGCAACCAGTTGACCTTTTGGATGCCAAGGGAAAGCAGCACCACTTGCCCCCTCCATACCTACAACACCATTTCTTCTGCGGTTTGTGAGCCCTGCGGTGCACACTGGAGTACTAGTAACACAATTGCGCTGCTCGTGCGCCCGGCGTGTCATTCCTCACAATTTCTGTGCGCTGTGCAATCACAAGACAACTGCTTGCTGGTCGTCGCTCCTGCAATGCCCGTGTTGGTTTTCGAAGCTCGTCAGGGTGCCGAAGGCCGGCAGCAGCGAGGCCAGCGTCGTCGCAAGGCGGCTGGGCGGATGCGTGCCTCGAGGACCTTGCTGCATGATGCCCGGACACCCTCCCGGGAGTTGCCCGTCTGAAGGCCTTATGTGCCCGGCGGTGAGGTGTCCATGTACCCGTCGAGTGTTTCCGACTCAAACGGTGACCCCTAAACGACCGCTATTTTGACATGCGTATCTCGTGGGCTGTGTGTGCTTGCTTGGGCTGGAAAATTGCCGTCAGATATTCGACATTGTTGTCCCGATTTTTTCGCACACCATAGGTTCTTCCTCGTGTTCCCGAGACCTATTGACGCCTTGTCACCTCCGTTTCCCGATCCATGTCAGGGCGAAGCACCGTTCCCCACGAATTTCGTCGTCACTCGCCCCTTAGACTTCACCACCTACATAACACACCGTCCGGCTTCCCTCGTCGCTGCACCCGAAACAACGTACCGGTAGGTGCTGGGGTGCACCGCCCACAAGATGGACCCGAAGAGAAACACGATGCTGGAGGACCCTAGCGTGTTTTCGATGAGCAACATCCGCGATGTCGTGGACCGGATGGTCTCGGGGTTCCTGTACACGCAACCACACTCTCCTCTGTGCACAAGGACGGACGATGTGGTGAGAGATTGACCTGGAACCCGATCTGCTGTGATGTCTTGCCCTCTGCCCGAGACCCAAGCTTGCTCCCTTAGCAGTTTTTTCACCACCACACCCACCGTGTCTGCGAATGTGGTGAACGAGTAAGTTGGTGAGGAAGACTTCAGATGGGTCGAGAGAGAGGGATGCTTCGAACAACTTAAAGAAGAAGCCCCTGAAACACGTTTGCCGCCAACAAATACCTCCGAAGAGGGTGCTGATCAGAGAGCTAATTGTTGCTTGCGTTCTGACCGATGTTTCGGATTGTATTGGGAATATTGCGGCACATGAGACGTTTGGGTTGAGCCCGGGTGTAGGAAATGTTTTTCTGAGAACGGTGCAAGACAGGTTAGTTCCGGACAAAGAAGTCTCTTGTGACGATAGATAGCAATTAGCACTCGCGTTGTTCAGATCGAGATTGGGGGGTCTACAGTGTTCGAAGTGCATACATGTCGTTCGAAAAGCAGGCGGCTGTTCAGTGTTTGCAAAAACGTCGAGGTGAGTTTGACGGTCATGTCGCACTCACGTCGTGCCAACCTCTCCCGTGTTGTTACCAATTTGGGTGTTGAATCCTACTTGGCCATTTGCATCGAACACTGTAGAGTTTCGTCACACGCTGCGGCCACGGCAGCAGAACTGCTTGGAACACGGAACATACTTACTCACTTGGCAAAAAGAACATTTTCCTGGCCCTGGCCCTGGCCCTGGCCCTGGCCAAGGGCCGTACAACGTTGCTATCGTTCGTCGAGTAGGTTGCGGGGGATATGGTCCTTCCTCTAGGTGACCAGTTGGACACCAATCAACTGCATCCAGCCACGCCAAAAAAGTAACGAGTACAACACCATCGCCTTCCCGCGTCTCCGCCCCAAAAACACATAGGACTACGAGAGCTGTTTCGAGGAAATGATGAATACTACCAAGTTCCAGAACGTCGCTGCAAGAATGGTGTCGGGCCACGACGCCTACGACAGCAGCATCAAGCTTTGCATGAACAAGGATCAGGATGTAGGGGGGGAGGCGGCGTGCGCGGAAGACCTGGAGTCCGTAATGAAGGGAGCGTGCAACTTGAACTTCGTCACCATGTGGTGAGAGAGAACCCATTGTGTCATTTGATGTTGTGGTGCTGCCTGCGACAGGGACGAGCAAGAGTTATCGTCCGGGCGTGGCGCTACGCAATCGCCCTCTCGTTTGAGTTGTACCGTTGCTTGACGTACCATGCACTGCATAGTGCCTTTCGGTCACGGTGTGCTTGAACATCCACCCCATGGAAGTGTCGCATCTCGTCATTAAGGGGTCGGTGTCTTGCGCCGCATCAGGATTTTTCCCTTGGACTTTGCGTGATGCATTTCACAAGAGAAACACGGGGTACGATCATATTTGTATACCGGTGTTTGTCACGCAGACCTCCACCACTAGCAGTCATTTGTGAAGCACGGCATCCCGTACACGGGAAGCTCACTGGTCAAATCTCTCTCTGACATATCCTGGTAAAACGAGTGCTCGTCGAACAATACTTCCCTCAATCATCATGTTCCTAGCCCCGCCCACCGTCTTTGTCCTTCGTCGATTGTACATTAGTGAGGCGTGGGGTTCGTCCGTCCTTCTATTGTTCGAGACCTTACCGTGGCTGGAGCCGACTGCAGATTTCTTCCCCGCTCCGAGGCACCGGCACCACCAATGTGGGTGTGATTTGGGTAGAGTTACTCCAGGTGACGTGATTTAGAGTTTTTCTCGCTGTCAACGCGAATTCTGCTCCCTCGTCGGTTTCGTCGTCGCCGTCGTTGCTCACTCGAATAGATTTCCTTCGATGCAGCCTCAACTCCATGCTACTCCCGATGACAACACGCGAGTTATTTGCGATGTTGCAGGAATGCCGGTGTCTGACGACAGATTTATGGTATCGCTGGGTTCATAAGGCATCCAGTGAAACCTGAGCCAATGTACATATGCTCGTAAAGCCCCACGTCGTGGTTCACAAGGAATGGTCCACCGCCAACGAGTGCTGTTTGTCGGGGAAGGGGCCCGACAATAACAAAGAGACCAAAGCCTCGCTGGAAATATTTTCTGATTGATCAACTCTCCGGCTCCTTACCATTCCGAACGCACGAAGGTGTCGTTTTCACGCAATGTATCCTGCTGCACCCTCGCGCGGCGTTCTGAAGGGACAGCAGTACATAATACGATTAAAGGGCAGAACGGATTTACTGCAGCTGGAAGTCGCCTTTTCCTGTGAATGCGCCGCGGGGGGCCATACGGCATCAAGAGACAACAATATTTCACCCCGGGGCATGTTTTTCTATTGCCATATTCTTGTACACAAGCCCACGATTGACGTCCCCTTTCATTTTTGCTGCTCTCTCTATTTTTTTCTTCCGCTTCCTCTCTCCATCTCACCCCCCGCCCCCCCTCCGTACTTCTAGTGTATTCGTCCGAAGACGCAAAGGAAAGCGCCGCTTCTGGTCCACAGCGCCAAAACACCGGGGCGAAGCACGAGGAAGGAATGAAGCACATCACACCCGAGCTGAGGGATGCGGCCCGCAGCGCCAACGCGGTCGACGAGGCTCTCCACGAGCTCGTTTCGGCCAAGTTCTGCGAACGGCTAAGGGAAGCGGGATTGCTGCACCATCCCTTGGTGGTTGCAGAGCTGGCCACTTACGAACCGCTGGAGCACAGGTCCGGATAATGTTTGTCGTGTCAAGTAGCGTTGGCAAGGTCGAGGGGAAAACGTTGGCGTTTTGGTTGTTTTCGATGAGAAGTTACGTCGTTCCAGGCTGTTGACAACGTCGTATTCAATATTGAACAACATAGTCATGACTTTGAATACACGCAGGTACGCCATCGGTTTCGTTCTCTGCCAAGCATTTGGCTGGGGTGAAGCTGATTTGCGCGTTTGGCCCTGTATGATTCGATGCTCACGATCCGAGACCCCTTCATTTTTCGCTCTCCCCCTGTCCGTTTCCGTTCCCAGATGTAACGACGAGACATGGGCGAAAGACACCCTGGAACGATTTGCACCGATCATGCCGGACGAGTGTAGGCTTTACCAGCCGTTCGAGAAACAGTAACGAGCCAACCCGCTCCCCTTGGGGAGTCAAGTGGGTTGCCTCCTGGGGGCCACGCAAGAGGTCATGCCCAATGCCATCACGCTTTCACCGTTGCATCTCGTCGTTCGGCAGTGACGGTTTCCGTGCGGGGGTTATTCATGCTTTCATGTCGACTGTTCGCGCGTGCGTGTGTGTGCGTCTAGGCTAGCGTCGTCTTCGTCGCAGATCATAGTGCTGCTTTTTCCCGCTGCTTTTGATCGTTCGCTTACCGTCAATGCGCAAAGAGCAAGAATCGTTTCCCGTAGTAGTCGGAGAGATGGCACCGGGTGCGATCGTTTCTTAACATGTTTTTGCTCGGGTTTTTTATCGCACCCTGGTGCCATTCTCCGACCGGTGCCATCTCTCCGACCCCGGTGCTGAAATGCAATCCAATCATTTCGTTTAGTTTTGTCAAGACACCCCGGTGCGATCTCTCCAACGGGTGCGATCCCCGATGAAATACACACAGGTGTTGTATGCACGCGTCCCGGTGCCATCGTTCTAGTAATGAAACCACACGTGTAGGTACCGGTGTCGCTGGTTGGAAGCACACCGGTAATGGCAAACGTACTGGTTGACTGGTACGTAACCGCTTTCCATGCAGTGGTCTTGTGTTTGATGCGAGTTCCGCTATGGCTTGACGACAACAAACTATGTCGTTTCCATCTGAGGTACCGGTACATTCGGTATTGGTTGTCTCCCGCTTTCGTTTCGGGCTCCTCTACGGATACCAGTACGTACGAAGCAGTTCGTAATTTTTTCGTGTTGTGTAAGGTGGAGTAGGGTGCGGCTTGTACGTTGTGTGTTTGGTTGAGTGTACGCTTGGCAACTCCCATGCCAATTTAAAATGAAAACAACTGGTATCCCGCATGAAACCGCGACCATGCATTCGTACATGTTGGAGTGGCGCTCCGCTGACACCGTCCCCACATGTAAAAGGTACGCGCATATACCTAAATCCGGTAGCTGAAAGGGAGCTCACTCTTGGATTTGGGGGTCGGAGAGATCACACCCGGTGCAATCTCACCGGCCCCGGTGCGTAAATCGAATTGAATCATGCCGTTCTGGCATTTTTTTGCGCACCCCGGTGCCATCTCTCCGACTTTTACGGCAGTCTCCGAGATCTCCGAGGGGGGGTATGCAGATGATGTAGATATGGGTACGATACACTTGGTACAGCAGGCTTTGCCTCTCTGCTCTTCCTGCTCACGTCGTGACTTGAGTCACTCCTTTGTGCAAAATGCTCTCGACAAGAGCCCGTGAGCGTGATAACATAGCACAAGCGCCGACACCCGAAACAAAGTTCAACTGTACTAGATTCCAGCTGCTCTTCGTGCTGAAGTCATCTTCCTAGGGTCAAAAGTTCGTCTTCATGACGGCCATAAGCTGCAAGAAAAGGGTTTTGCACTTGCACTTGAAAAGTTTTGCATGTATCTCTACATGTACATCTGAAACTAGCCACTGCGAAGGAGATAACCGAATTTTCCGAAGACGAGGACTCCAAATGCTTACACCATATGTATCTGCATAAAACCCATGCAACAGTTTCGACACGAGACGTAGGGTTAAGCTTCAGACCAGGACATCGGCGTGTGTAGACTATGTGCCACCGTGACATCGTGAGCACTATTTCCTGCGCAAAGCTGCACAACGGCGTGTAACAGCCAACAATGCGTAGCGGTGAAGCAACTGCCAACAAAATCGGCGTCTGTGTGCAGCAGCTACCAGTAGCCGATCACGAGCACAACGGCGCACGCGATTACCAAGAAGGGCGATATCATGAACCCCACTGCACGTGCGACAGCTGCGCAACGGCGTGTAGGTACCGGAATTGAGCCGTCTGGGCGTACTTCTGCCGTGCTGCCTCGACGATCAGTGGTGGAGGCGGGGGGAGCGGTGGTATTGGCTGCCTTACGCGCATCAGGAGCATCTCCGTCTTCTTCTCCGATACCGTCAGCCCGAACTCCCCCAATACCTTCACGACGACGGTCATCATTCTCGCCAGTCCGTCGGCAGACCTCGATATGACGCCGGCGTCATCGGCATACAGCATCCTCCATACCGCCCTCCGCACCTGGTCAAGTGGTGTCCCCGCCCCCCGCTCCCGTCTCCTCCTCTAGGTACACCAGGTTCTGCAGAGTAACATCATCCTCGATGAATCGCATGACAACGACCTCGAGGACCCCGGCGAAGAAGATGTTGAACAGCAGTCGGGACAGGACGCACCCTCGTCATAGACGAGGCCTTGTGCGACCCAAAACCTGTCCGACAGCTCTCCGTCGTCCATGTGCGCTCGGGCTCGCATTCCGTCGTGGAATCGTCGAATGACGGAGGTCATCTTCTCGGGAATACCCGCTCTGGCCAGCACCTTCCATTTTGGATACGGAAAACTTTCAGAACACGCTGTGGTTTCGAGGCGGCGCATTGCTTTCCGGTCAACCGAGGCTTGCTTACGAACCTGCCGTAGTGCAGAAAGCGCCCGCCGTGTAAAAGTTGGCCTTGATATATGCTCATCTAGCACTCAGAAATCTAAGAGCTTGAGCACCACTTGTGAGCTCGGTTTAAACCCTGTATTGAAACCTCAATAGCGGCCATTCGGAGCACATGACCTATAGAAGCTGAAATAAACCCATTAGACTAGTCAGCGGCTGACTAGTCTAATGGGTTGATTTCAGCTTCTATAAAAGTACGTCGTGGCCCTAGGAATACAGTACGAACCCCAGCCTCGCTTTCAACGTTGTAGAGGTTTAAGCGCGGGCGGGTTCTGCATGTTAACAACGAACCGTCTTGGGGCTCCGCTACAGGCGAGGGGTGCGTGTTTCGTCTGAGTTGACGGCACTTGTGCGTGAACGATTTGTGCGCATGAACACACTTGGTCCAAACTACACGGTCAACCTTGACCTGCGGGTCGGTGGCCTCTTCAGCGCGAAAATACTGTGCTCAGTGGGGTCGAATTCGTCTGACATGGGTACCGCCACAAGGTTGATATACCTGAGTTGTAGGGAACGAGCAGCCAACGCTGATACAATGTATCAGTGTTGGGTCAGGGATAGATACGTGTATTTTGTGCACAGCGCTACAAGCCGGAACCAATCGTCATGCCTCTCTCGCTGTTTCCAGTTCTTCCATCCCTGGCTGAGAACGGTGATGACTTCGCGCTGTCGAATAGCACCACCCGCGTTTTGCCGGTGACCATCTCCCGTTCAACGAGGAGCTTCAGCACCGACTGCAGCTCAGTAGTCTACGCAGTTTGTTCTTAGCACGCAAATAAATCGGATATAATGTAAAGTCGGCTAAGTTGGGGTTGGGGTTAAAGTTTTGGCTAAAAAAGATTTAGGATCTAGGCTACAGCAGTTGTAGACTAGACTAGTGTTTTTTCGAAACATATTTGCTTTCTATGTGCAGGCAGTCCAAGCAGCTATTGGTGTCCGCCGGCCCACGCCATTGATCAAAATGAGGGACATGGTGCCCGTCGCCTCATCCGCGAGAACCGTTGCCACTTCCGCGTCGTTTGCTGATGAACTCAACGACATATTCTGCCAGCAGCACGATGGGACGATAGTGTAAGGACTGAAGGCTTAGCGCCCGTCATGAGGTTTCCTGAGAACATACCCCTTGGAAGGTTCACCCTCTGCCCAGCGTTGTCATCACTATTTTCGCCAGTGGTGGATAGCCTCGTGGCCGTTCAAGCCCCCGCTAACGGTGCCGCCGACAGCTCTTCACTGCTCGCTACCTCCACATCCGTAGTCGTCGCTGTCAGGCGGCCGATCGATCTCCTCGGGAACGTTGGAAAATCCTGGAGAAGCTCGGTTTTTCGGTTCGGGTGACGATGGAATGAGGCGTTGCACCCGGCACGGGAGAGCGATCTCCGCTGCCTGTATGGGTCGGTACTTGTTGCCTCTGAAGCGAAGTTTGTAGCATCGGCGGGCGGCTGTTTAGTAAGAACTTCGTGCACGATGCCAAGATTTCCGGTACAACCGTTTTTCCGGCACACTGTGCGCCGCACATGTCATTCGGATCGTTGTTTGAGGACCATCTTCCATTGTTTGTGCGAAACCCGCAATCTTCATCCACGAAAAAGCCTCCGATGAACCTAGCAAGGCCATAGTCGTTCCATCGACGGTGTTCTCGAGGTCGTTCTCGCTGCATTTCGATCCCACCTGGGAACCCAAGCGTCATAGTTGCATGTTTCTCGGTAATCTGGCAATAACGTTGGCAGATCATAGCGCAAATGGGAGGCATATTTTTTCCAACCGAAGAAGAAAATTAATCGTAGGCAGTGTCTACTTCTAGACAAGACTGGAAGCATGGAACAACGAAGCGAATCTGGCACCAGAATGGACAGATGCCCTCTCACTTGTTTTACTGAATCGGGCTCATTTAGGCGCCGATTTTGAGAACGAATTGCAGATTGGATGGCCGGTAATATCCTTGGGCGACTGCTGTGGCCCCAGAGCAGGCGTTGTTGCAATTTGGCGGACATAGTCGAGAAGGTTCGCTCCGGCTGGTATCACTGCTAACAAGCCAAGCATCCAGGAAGTGTCCGTTAACCTCATTGCAAAGTCCTTTTCAAGTCCCTTCGAACGGGGTTTTGCCTCGAACGGATGGACTTCGTCCAATGCATTTCTACTCTCTCACACGAGTTGTGCAACGAAAAAAGTAAGGGAATGTGAGAAATATAGTTGGGTTGTGTTTTGTCCTTTGAGTTTGCATTGAGTTTGTTTTTGGCTGTTGTTGTTGTTGTTGTTGTTGTTGTTGTGGTTTTCTCCATTTTAAAAACCCTTGCGACCTCTCCATCCAGCACGTTCATCTGTCCGTACTGACCAAGCACTTGACCGAGCGATCTCCTTGGTCACAGGCCAGGCTAAATTAGCTAAGCAAGGAGTACTGAAAAAAAAATGGACCTGAATGGTTCGCAAGCCAATTACATTCAACCACAGATAGTCTGGGGCCCTCCGCTTCCCTCTACACACGTTTGGGTATTTTTTTTGTTTCCTGTGTTTTTGGAGACGCAAAAAAAACGTGTAAAGACCTCTTGTTTCGGATGCTTCCTACGTTGTTGTTTCAAACCACCAGTTTAGGTGACGGTCACAGCAAAATGCGGAGTCCCGAGTACTTGTTTTGTGGTGACAGAGCACATCGGGAAGAAAAAGGGAGAGATGGGTAATTCCTCCTGTGCGACCCCGGCTAGTGTGTTAAAACAACTGTGTCGACGGGTGCCTATCTAGTTAGAATAGATGGAAATAGACAGAAAACGGGCCTCAATGGTATCTGTTCAAAGTCGCTCGAGGGATAGTAACAGAACACCACAGGCACAGCAGCAGGTCATGTCCTGAACGTTCCGTTGTCGACGCCGGCGGATGCGGCTGTGGCACCCAACGCTTGGCGATCATGACGAAGAACGAATCAACCCTCGACCCCCAAATGGACGTTACTTTTGCGCGGAGGCTAACTGTTGAGCGAAATTCTCCGCCTCCGCCCCAGCTCCTAAAGTCGGCGCACATCAAGAGCATGCCGACGGTGGATCCACCAGGCTGGAAGCCGCACTACTCGTCCGGCAAGATGTCGTGTCCTTCGCAGCAGTCGCTCGGGTCGGCTGGCAGCGATCAGAAGGAGAGCATTTCACCGTAAACGAGAAGGGTTAGCCCCTCGTAGTTGTTAGAGTTGGATCGATCCGATACCGTGTAGACCGATGGTGGCATATTTCCATTCCTACGGCATCGTCGCCCCCCCCCCGTTCCACGCATCGACCAGTTCTGCGGGGAAGGATCTGAGAACGATGCGCTCGAGTAGCTCTACCAGTAGGGATTCATGGCCAGGCGCCTTCCGGTGTTCAGCCCCCGTAATGTCCTCCGAGTCTCTTCCAGGGGTGGTGTCGACACCTAACCTTCCGCAGTTGGTGCCGTCGGTCACTGCTTTGCCTTCTCGATGCCTCGATGGTGGATGGGCACAACGTGCGGGAATTATGACGTTGAGGAGAGAGCTCAAGAACTTCGCCCACGCTTGGGATGTACTCCCCTTGTTCCTCTGCAGGACACCATCTCCATCTTGAACGAGCTGCTACAATACCCCCCTGCCTGCCTTCCGTCAAGGCATACTGAGCTCTTGAGGTGATTGTAAAGGCCTAGTTTGGCATTTCTGTCTCCTTCAAGATGGATTTCATCTTATCCAAGTTAGCAATACTGTAGGTGTTCGTTGACTGCTATATGAGGTCTCTTGCATGCTGTCCTGAGTGCTTCCGATGTTGCCGGGGTCCTGTCGGTTTTCTCATCTCCCGGTGTGCCTTTTGTCGCTTGGTAGTTTTCTGCCTCGACTGCTGCTCTCGTTTCCGGGTGCTCCCACCACACCGACAAACTTGGTATCCGGTCTCTGCCGGCAACTGACTGCACTACTTCAAGGATGGGTTGGGTGACTTCCCGTACGGTTTCCGGTGCCGTCGTTTTCGGCTCGTCTGTTGAGTGGCCAAGGTTTGGAAAAGAACTTTTCGGTCACCTGAAATCGCGAACTTCCTTCCTGCTACGCCTTGTGACTGAGCTGCCTCCGCTTCCGCTTGGCCCGCACAGCCGGTTGTTGGAGATTGATTCGGACATCGGGGGTCAGGAGTAAAGCGTAGCTACCACCACCATGTTGGAATCGGAGTCCGGTTTTGGCTGGAGGTATGGGGTAGGGATAAACGATGACATTGCGTATTATACGGCGGTGCGCCTGCCGAGTGAGGATGTACTCTAAACGTTCCAAGTCGCTCAACATGAGAGATTCCGCCTTTGATCGTATTGAAGAAGGTCTTGGTGTCTGTCGCAAAATTGAGTGCATTCTCGTTTACAATGGCCGTGCAACTAGGTAGAACAGTTTGAGTAGTCTGCTTTGTCGGCGTGGACTACAAAATCCACCGAGTCTGGAGATTTACTGTAGTATTCACCTCAACCACAAAATCAGCTTACCAAGTGGTTGTTGTCCTCGAGCTCGATGTCGACCACCCCGTGCCTCTTCCGGACATGCTTTCCCCTGATGCTGCGCACTAGTACGCTTGCTGCGAACATCGGGCGCGCTGGACGGCAGAAAGAGAGGCAGGTTCCGCGGAATATCGTCCAATCTGACTCCGATGGTGTCACTGCTAGTGACATGAGCTCGGCCGGTGCATAGGTTGTCGTCTTGTGGGCGACGTCTCGGTAGTCTCTTGGTTGGTTGTGGTAGAGGAGACTAGTCTACAGTATTTCGTCTGTTCCCACAGAGGTCAGACCCAACGCCGGTGTCCGCACACCCTTCCATGGAGGNTCGGTAGTCTCTTGGTTGGTTGTGGTAGAGGAGACTAGTCTACAGTATTTCGTCTGTTCCCACAGAGGTCAGACTCAACGCCGGTGTCCGCACACCCTTCCATGGAGGTATATCCGACGATAGCGTAAGTGCTGTAAGTTGGAAGTTTCCGTTCGGTTGCCCCGTCGTGACAGCTACCACTACTGCTGTAGACTACTTACTGGCTGCTGTACGCTACATGCTCCAGCTGCGGTGCGTATGTATGTAGAAGACAAAACAGGACACGTTCTGTTCTTCGAGAAGTAAACAATGAGGACATCATTTGTCCACAAGGTGGCAACTTCGCAAGGTGGCAACATCGCAAGCCATTCATTTCAAGCGAAATCGTTGGGCGACTTCGTGTACAGCAGAAGAAACATACCGCATGTAGTGTACCGTAAAGTAGTAGCTGGTCGAAGATGTCCAGGAAGAAATCTTACTTGGCGGTTTCATGCGGCACAACCAACAACCCCGAGTATGGCGCGTGCCGCTCCAGACTCTATGGAGCCCCGGGTGACGTGGGGTTGGTTACTACAAGTAGCAGCCGGGATGGTACCGTTGCCCAGTATGGCAAGCCTCGATCCACGTTCGGAATGTCCTGGAGCAATGGAGACGTCTCGAAAAGTGACTATCTACAAGGGTGAGAGCGGCCAACGGTAGATTTAGCGCCAGACCAAATTGGGCTCCTATTTGAGTAATTCTGCGGTCTACAGCAGTAGGAGTCTGCTGTTGCGCCCACTTCTGTTACGCAGGCGTTGGGCAGACAGGACACTGCGAGAAGCATCGTTTGGAGAGCACTCCCTGCTCCCTTCTTCGCCGGGCTCTTACCCACACACACGCACGCGGCCTGGACACAACCTCCCTACTCTGATCACGGCTGAACTTTTGCGTGGGTGTGTTTTCGGCGGATGCGATGTGTTTTATCAGGCGAGGTTGTTCTGGAGACCTTCAGTACCCGAGCTTGTCTTCGAACTCTACGGCGAACGCTTCGACGACACCCAAACGATGGAGATATCGAGGTGAGTTGGGGCGTAAATGCTAAGCGCGTCTTCATTAGTCCATCTTGCCTGTTCAAGTTGCCCCGATGAATCAATCACGAGGTTATCACCCTCTTAGGCTGCTGCACGATCGGCTGTGGAGGACATTTTTGTACCCACACCTGCTTTACTTCGCGGAGAAAAGCATGGTTGTCTCCTCCGTTGAACTACTCGACAAAGGGGGTGCCGGGGTACACGGGGACAACTCTAGTCTATTATGGAAGTTGAGGCAAAATGTGAGGTCGAACCGCGGGACGATAATGCCGCGGGTCAACAGCGAAGTTGCGCCGCGCCTGTCTAAAGATGGCGCCCGCGCTTAAGAACCTCTAGTTCGGCCGAGGCTGGGGTTCTCAGTTCCTCTTGTGGGCTACAAATGGTCGCTGTATAGGTTTCGGTGTAGGGGTTCTTAACAGGGCTCACAAATGGTGCTCAAGTTCTAAGCTTCTCATTTTTTCGAGTCTCAATTTCTTGTCTGGGACGCTATCTCTGTGTGGACAGCGCTGCTAGGTAATGACGCGGAAGAAGTACCCACATAGCCCACCGATGAGTCACCAGGCAACCTAGGGCTTGGGTTAGAAGGTTTCACTTTCCCTCTAGAGGAATATCTTGAAAGCCTCCTTTTCGTGCCCCGTATTACACAAGCTCTAGAGTTGTTGTCTGAATGTCCTATCACTGCTAATATATGTCCCTTAGAGTCGAGGGGACATTTGATAGGGCTTTTAGACAAGAGGCGGCTCAGGTGGGAAGGCAGCTTTGCATTTGCACCCAGGGACGGAAAAATCTTCACCATCCAAACAACAAGCGTCGTCCGCTCTCTTCTCGTGCACACAATGAGATTTGACCTTGCTCTTGCCACGGGCGAAATGTGTCATCACCATCAGGCAGTGCACCTAAACTTGGGTTCAGCACATGTGTAAGCCCCCAGTGCCTTCCTACGGGGGTGCCGTGCCCACCCACGGTACAGTAGTATCAGTAGATGTGGGGGCCATGTTAACCCAGGACCGACGCGGATGATATTGACCTTGATTATCACACATCCATGCTACTTCCAGCACAGGAAATTATGTAAACAAACAGAACATAGACTTGACACTTGCGCGGGCTCTCTCTCTCGAGGGGCCCCGCACTTATACCCCCGATAGCATACCCCCCATACACCCTCTCAAGATCGGATCTTGTATCCAAGCACCCCAAACAGCCCCCCCTGCTTGATACATTATACGATCTGGGAGTCTTTTGTGAACAATCTTCCAACAAATATTAAAACACGAATTACCGCTTGAGAAACATCCTCTACAAAACCGGATGCGCAACAAACACAGTGCGCCTCCATCAGTTTATCCACGAACTCATTGCGTTTTCCCCTGGATATATAATCTCGAACCGTCAACACAAAAGAATCACCCGTTGAAGAGTAACGACCAAGTATCTGCTCTACATCAGGAAGGCGTAGAAACGGTCACGGACAGATCTGGAAAAACCGCTTCAGAATAGTTGCCACAACACCTTCGAGTATATCGAAGTTTCAACGTCTTGCCCAATCTAAACGAGCGTTCGGAAAGTACGAAGACCCCAAGCATTACTCGTCAAAACATGTGGAAACCTTCTCCAATGTAGCATCCAAGGACCAAATCCTGAACAGCGCGCACGTTCGAATCGGTGCCTCAGCAGTTGCCCAAGAGACGATAGAAAACTTGAATAGGCATGCAAACAGCCCCCCTCGCTGCAACATCTCCCGAAACATGCAATTTCTGTGCCACCCTTCTCTCACTGGCTTTGGCGCAAGACAGCAGTATCAATACCAATGTCGATACCAAACAGCCCCCCGGCTGGAACATGTCCCCAAAACATACATATAGATCTGTCTGCGATTTCTTTCTCTCCTTTTCAACCAACAGAAGATATTAAAACATCAATGTTTGCGAGAGATCTCCCCCAGCTGCAACATGCCCTGCGATGCAAGAAAAACATTCATGCATTCGCTGGTGTTGCGTCTGGAATCATGATAGCACATTTCCTCCCCCTGATGCTTGACGCAAAACACGGCAGAACGAAGAAAACTCAAAGAACATCATTACGAAACCAGTTCCAACTTGAGCAGAACTCCACGTTCTGCGGCTAGAAACATGAGACACAAATCCCCCCCCATGGTTCTTGACAGAAGTACAAACAGCAGATTACGAAGTTATATGTAATTCCGCATGTCACACAAAGTTCGGGTCCAAAAAGAGACAGTAGCCGTCACTACATCGAGAGACACCTGGTAGGTGTATCTGTCGTCAGACGTGTGCGTCCACGGGAGGAAGTGCGTATGATTGCGAGGGGCACCGCAAGTGGAAGATAGCGTTTTGTGTTTTTTTCGCATTTGACGAGCATCTGCTGATCCATGGGACTTCCTTGGTTACCCGCGACGGCGCTGAAGACGCCCATGTCCGTGCACTTCATCCTCGTGCTCTGTGCTATTTCGTGTCTCCCGCCGGCGCCTGGCAGCGTCTCTTTCACGGTTAGCCGCCAGCTGCTCTGGTGTCTGCTGCTGGCGCCTCGCAGCGTCTCTCTCTCGTTTAGCCGTCCGCTGTTCTGGTGTCGGCGGCTGCCCTCGCTGTCGCCTAGCGGCGGCTCTCTGCCGGTCCGCCCGCAGCCTGTGTTTGTGTGTTTGTGTGTTTGTGTGCGTGAGAGAGAGGATATACTGTGTGCAATATGCCTTGTGATCGCTCGTGCTCGTCCAGGTTCATGCCTTTCGTCCCCTGCCTTGCGTAAAATATACTCTGCAGTGTGCTGTGTGTGCGGAAGAAGACAAAGAAGGGGCCGTTGGTTATGTATTTGAGTTCTGCGGCAATCGCCCACACGCACATGCACCAACGCACCTTTCTGCCCGTGCTCTATCGGTCTCCTTCGCACGCCTGGCGGCAGTCCTCTGACGAGCAGCAGCTCTCGCCNTTACTGTGTGCAATATGCCTTGTGATCGCTCGTGCCCGTCCAGGTTCATGCCTTTCGTCCCCTGCCGTGCGTAAAATATACTCTGCAGTGTGCTGTGTGTGCGGAAGAAGACAAAAAAGGGGCCGTTGGTTATGTATTTGAATTCTGCGGCAATCGCCCACACGCACATGCACCAACGCACCTTTCTGCCCGTGCTCTATCGGTCTCCTTCGCACGCCTGGCGGCAGTCCTCTGACGAGCAGCAGCTCTCGCCTGTCAAGCTGCGGGCTGCCTAGGGATTCCCTCTCCCCGCGGCCTTGTCTGCGCCGGGAGTCTGTGTGCGCTTCTGCCTCACGAACGGAGGTCGGGCCAATCGATCGCATCAAACGTCTACTCATTCGATGGCCATGAGCTCACAGCAGCTACACCCTCGATTTCGCTGGCCGCTGTATGTTGTCGCTCGCTGTGCCCGCTGTGCGAGTGTCGCTGTGCCCGCTAAGCGTGCGCTGTCTGCTGTGTGTGTTATTCTGCATCTGCAATAGCTGCAATCTGCTGTGTGGTCACGTCCGGTCTGCTGACCCCCCAATAAAATCAAGTTATGTATTCTAAAACCTAGATNGGCCATGAGCTCACAGCAGCTACACCCTCGATTACGCTGGCCGCTGTATGTTGTCGCTCGCTGTGCCCGCTGTGCGAGTGTCGCTGTGCCCGCTAAGCGTGCGCTGTCTGCTGTGTGTGTTATTCTGCATCTGCAATAGCTGCAATCTGCTGTGTGGTCACGTCCGGTCTGCTGACCCCCCAATAAAATCAAGTTATGTATTCTAAAACCTAGATAAAACGTATAGACAAACGCCGTTTTTTTTCTTGATGGAGCGCTATATTGCGCTGAGACCTCAGGCCAGATTATAAATCTCGCCTCGCTCGAACAAGACAAGTCAAAACCCCAAAAAATATGAAAACACACAGAAACCAAGCAGAATTGCCGCACATTCCAACGCATTGTCTCTCGCACGCGATACCTGGACGAATTTCTTTTCTTCTGCGCAACGGGATGGATGCGCTCAACACGGAACAACGAAGAAAAGAACAGAACACCGTGAAGGTAAGATACCAATGCCTGCGCCCAAAACCCAAACNATAAAACGTAAAGACAAACGCCGTTTTTTTTCTTTATGGAGCGCTATATTGCGCTGAGACCTCAGGCCAGATTATAAATCTCGCCTCGCTCGAACAAGACAAGTCAAAACCCCAAAAAATATGAAAACACACAGAAACCAAGCAGAATTGCCGCACATTCCAACGCATTGTCTCTCGCACGCGATACCTGGACGAATTTCTTTTCTTCTGCGCAACGGGATGGATGCGCTCAACACGGAACAACGAAGAAAAGAACAGAACACCGTGAAGGTAAGATACCAATGCCTGCGCCCAAAACCCAAACGAACTTGTTAACATTTCACATGGTCTCCAATTTGGCGGAAACAGGGTGATGTCATCGCTGCTACCGTTTCTTCCCCCTGCTCGTCCAACTCGAGGGTGCCCACCGGAGACAAATATCCGTCTTCCGCTTCGCTGATACTCCCCAAGTCGCGCTGCGTCCGCCCGGCGTTAGGCTACGCGTACGACGCGGGGGGCTTGTTGCAGGTGTGGCGCTGTGGGGGGGCTCGGGAGGGGTGGGCGGAGGGGGAAGCAGACAAGGGTAGGCTCTCCCCCCGCTCGCCCACTATCTCATCCCCGCTCACACTGCCGTGGTTTCCGGTGGCGCTGCTGGCGCCGCCTTCGCTCGGGCAGATGCCGCCGCTCCCGCCGCCGCCGCTCTGGCCGAACTCGCCGCTGCCGGCCGTTCCTGCTCCCGCTGCTGCTGCCAACGGGACTTTGGCCGAAGCTGTCCGCGATTCCGTCGGCACTCCTATTGCCCCTACCGGTGCCAGCGACGGGGCTCTGGCCGAAGCCGTGCCCGCTGCCGTGGTGTCGCTTGGTGCGAAGCATTACCCCCCGGCATGTGCACATCCATCAATACCTCTATCGAACGGGAGGTCCACTCCCAGCACGACCGCCCTGGCGCT